CTCTCGACCCGGGATACGGGTGTCACACACATATACAGCGCTTGGAAAAGTTACTTTAGAGCAGTTTTGTTTAAAAGGTAACTTTTCTTGAAAGAGACAATCAAAGAGAACGTAGATGGAGGTGTTAGCTGCTCATGGGCATGTAGCTCCAGTTTGTAAAAGAAATCCACTATTTCTCCTTGGAGAAGGAGTACAGGAATAATAATTATAACATACAATTACTGACATTTTGAAGAAACCTGACCCACCACGTTTGGGAATCTATAAAGTACATCTTGTCTTCTACTTTGTGTGGCTCTTGGTCTATTGTTCAAATATCCCCTTTTATCCAGATGCAGGAATGATGACTAACATAGGGACATAGGTGTCTCATAGGTGAAGAGGTATGCATAGCATTCATATGAGAGCTAAAGACATGGACTTTTTGTCGAGAGATCCTTCAAAGAGGATATTTTTCTGTGCTTTTTCATGATTTCATAGCATGAATGTCAATTACCAATTTAATTTTTGTACTGTTAGATCAAAATATTTAAATTAATTTGATTTACAAGACTTAAAGTCACAGCAGTTTCTGACATGCCATTGTTGCATGCATTCTGCATAGGCTACTCGGGACTGAATGTTACATACTGTATAACTATATTGTGTATTATGAGTAAGAAAGCAAAACTAGAACAATGGTATGCAGTATTGGGGGGGGGGAAGAGATTCTAATGCTCCATGCATTTTGCCAGTTTGCATCAAAAGGAAGGGAGTATTCCCATTAATCCCATTTTGCAGGAAATAATGCACAACTGAAATACATTGGCCTTGCTCCAGTAGTGTCTTTTGGTATCTAATACCTGCAGAATGAAGAACTACTTCTCCCTCATTCAGTGCAGCCCTACATGGTAACAAATTATTTCTCCAAAGGGTTTTATGTCCATACAAATCCAAGGCAGACCTTTCAACATCACAATAATCCAAGTTTATGCACCAACCACTAGTGTTGGGGAGACTGAAATTGACCAATTCTATGAAGACTTACAACAACTTCTAAAACTGACACCAAAGAAAGATATTCTTCTCATTCTGGGGGATTGGAATGCTAAAGTAGGGAGTCAAGAGATAAAAGGAACAACAGGGAAGTTTGGCCTTGGAGTTCAAAACGAAGCAGGGCAAAGGCTAATAGAGATTTGTCAAGAGAACAAGCTGATCATCAGACTCTATAAGGTCAGCAAAAACAAGACCTGGAGCTGATTGTGGCTCTGATCATCAGCTTCTCATAGCAAAATTCAAGCTTAAACTGAAGAGAGTAGGAAAAACCACTGGGCTAGTCAGGTATAATCTAAACCAAATCCCTTATGAATATCGATTTGGTGGACAGATTGCCTGAGGAACTATGGATAGAGGCTCGTAACATTGTCCAGGAAGCAGTAACAAAAAACATCCCAAAGAAAAGGAAATGCAAGAAAGCAAAGTGGCTGTCCAACGAGGCCTTGCAAATAGCAGAGAAGAGAAGGGAAACAAAATGCAAGGGAGATAAGGAAAGTTACAGAAAATTGAATGCAGACTTCCAAAGAATAGCAAGGAGAGACAAGAGGGCCTTCTTAAATGAACAGTGCAAAGAAATAGAGGAAAATA